CTCATCCATGAGGACCAGTGCAGTTGCAGTCGTAGTATAAAGCAGTCTGTTGCTCCCCCTACCACTCCCCATCTGGATGACTTTACATATTAAAACCAAGCAATGCTCTTTCCTGTGGGCTTCTAACAAAGTTCCTTCCTTTGCCCAAATGGCCACTTTTATGGTTGTCAAGAAAGACAACACTATCATAGCCAGCAATATCACTTGTCACACCAGAGTTTCCAGAAGTCCTACCTGGGAGATCACCCCATTAGAAATGGCCTGCTGACTGCGATAAGCCCATCCAAGAGAAATCTCTGTCTGTGACACAGTATACACGCTCCAGGATAGACCAGGAAACCCGCTCAGACTTCTTACATTTTGGATATATGACAGAAAACAAAAGCTTTAGGCATCACACAGGGTAAGGCACTGCATAAACCAGTGAATGAAAGAAACTAGCCCTGGTATTTTGAGTCCCCAAGAGATGCAAACAAAATTCAAGAGGCTATTCCAAAACTGCTGTGATGTGCTATTCTCTTGAGCTTTGCACAGTAGCAAACAAATGCTGAAGGTCACTCTCTTTTCTTCAGTTGGTAAGATAAAGTGAAAGGACATCTGATTTAAAAAAGATAGTAAGGGAAAACCAACCCAGAATACATATGTCTCTTGCATCCAGTGACATATATTGAAATAAAACAACCATTAAATCCCTTCCTTCTGCTGGTTTTATATGTAACTCTGGTTTATAGCTGCCAAAAGCTACAGAATTTTTATAGATATTTGCTATATGCCCTCTTCAGCTCTTCTGGTAATTCTCTATTGCTCTTCCTTGCTAGTTCATTAAAATGGTTTGCAAGAGGAAAAAGGAAACCATAAGTCTCAAAGACGGATATGCTGCCTCTTTGAACGCTACATAATCTGTTTGCATCTCCCACTTTCACTGTCAGAGAAGAGCATACAGGCTGGGTCCCCCCCCCCCCATTAGATGTTTTAAAAAATACACTCTTTTATTACAGAAATATACTCAGGGTCATTAGATCTTAAAATTAGGAGCTTTCAAAGTCAGCCTATATTATCAGACTCACCTGTAAGATTATCAGAGAAGCGTTTAATTATTATGGGGCTACAGGGGTAACACACTGCACTACCATGTGGAGGACTTTCGTTTCTGTTCTTGCTTCTCTGGGTGACAATTGCTAGCAGCAGTACTGAAGCCGTAAGGCTCTGGGAGACAACCCACATTTCTGGGTGTTGCTCCATAGCAGTCCCTTCATAAATTCCTCAGCTAGGATTGCTATAGCATTACGCTTTGTCTGGTAGCTGGGCACAAGACAAGGAGTCAGAACACCTGGTTTGTTGTATGAAACGCACCTTGCCCCCCTAAGCTTAGCTGCTGATAATAAGGAAATGCAGGGAGCAGAGGGCCTGATCCTTCAGGAGCAGAATGGCCTGGCCCCTCGTTGAGCCAGGTTGAGAGCCAGCAGGGCCTGCCAAAGGTCGACCCAGCTCAAGAAATGGACCCGGGCAATTCGGCTCAGCCGGCGACATCAGCTGAGTGCCCAATCCTGCTGGCACTGAACTGCTCAGGCCTGCTTCTTGAGCTGGGTGGGCTTTGTGTCGTGCAGCTAGGGGGTTAACAGAGCAGATGCAGGTTTGTACTCCCCAGATTCATGTGGAAATTGTGCAGGACCCTGAGGGAATCCCAGCTTTCCCATCAGCAGTGGTGGACTTTCCTTTGCCTCATTCCTCCCCTGATCCTGTGGGAATGGATAGAGAAATGGCTGCCTGTGACTGCAGGAGCTGGACTGAATAGCCCAGGGGGCCACTTCCCGTTCTGTTCTTCCTCTGCTTGCGATCAGTCTAAAAACATAAGAGACAAGCTAAATTGTCCCATGTCATAGGCAATGCATAGCGGGGGGCACATGCCCCCCCTGAAATTGGCCCTTGCCGGCCGGGAAATGGGGAGCACCAGCTCTGTGGTTGGCAGGGTTGGCAATCGGTCGCTGGTGCCCTCCCAGAGCCAGGAGGCACCAGTCGCCCTTGTTCCAAGAGAATCCATTCTCCCAAACCACAGCAGTAAGATGAGCTTCTCCAAGTCATCTCTTGTTTTTGGTCTCTGTACAAACTGTGGCAATCTGCTGGTGTCAATAGCAAAGTCTCCTACTGGAGACTCAACTTGGAGCAAGCTCCAAATGTGTTTCTCATTAATCTGGCTGAAGCATCTGCCAAGTTGGAGGGTTTGCTCTTTTAGCAAGATATCTAGGATGGCAAAGTAAGTGGGAGATCCATGAGAGCAGCACCAGCCCGGATGAGAGTTTTTGGGAGGCCCTGGCATCCAGCATTACCATATTTACACACATACCACATGCCCTCTTCTCCAAAAAATAGTAATCCGAGATTGGAGCGCATGTTTTAAGCAAGGAAGCTGATGTGCAGACTGAAATAGAGGGATGGGGATGCTATATGACTCCCAGGGGCTGGCTTTGTGCTGGGCCACCCTTTGCAAGGAAAAGAGTGAGTGACGCTGGCAGCAGACGTCACTGTGTCACTCGCTCTTTCCTTGGAAACTCTGCAGCTCAAGCTGTAATCCTGCAAAGTTCTTGCTGACTTGGCAGCAGCTTGGGCTGTGCAGGGGCTGAGCCATGATTGGGAAAATCTTTTATAACTCGTTCTGCATTCCCAGAACAAGGTGTGCATCTTATTTGGGAGCTTGTGTGCAGGAAAATATAGTAATGGGCTCCTCCACCCCATCCCATTGCTTTTAAGCTGGTTTGCTCAGGGTGTGAGTCACTGCAGAAATTCACCTTAAGAACAACCCTAGTGAGTCATTTAGTCTGCCGTGCCAGTTTTCTCACGTATAACGTGGGGCTTTGCTGGTGGCTACATGGTGCCAGGAAGGACTTTTCCTCACACCTTCTGTTGCTACAAGTCTTGGGGCCCAGGGGGATTTTACCTTCCTCAGGAGCAATAGGTGTTGGCTATAGGTTCCTGGAACTAAAACTCAGAGGTTCCTGGCTAAAGGGGCTTTCCCCGCTCCTCAGGGACAGGCTGATTGTCACTTTTGGGATCAAGAAGAAATTGCTATGGCTGTTAGTGGGTTCATGCATTCATATAAAATAATTGGAGATTTTCCACCAGAAGATGCTGTCATTAATTCAAAGTCTTGCTACTGTTCTAATATTAAAAATAGGGACCTCCCAAAATGCTGATTTTTTAGATTTCATGGGAAAACATAAAATCCAGCATTGCCCACAAAAGCGGGCAGTGTCCGCAAAAAATAAAACAATAAAAAAAAAAAAATACTGAAAATAAAATGCTGGCTCCCCCGAGGGAGGGCAAGGGGTAGGGCTGTATGGTGACAGCCCCTGAAGCCAATCAGCATCAAGGGGCAGAGCCACCAGGGTACCTCAGCCAATCAAAGGCATGGCCGGTGTGGGGAGGGGCCATGATAAGCCCTCGAAAATGGCAGTCAGCCCTGTCATCTGCCCATAAAATCGGCCTCCTCGAGTTGGGTAGACCCCTAATGATAAATCTGGTCTGCAGTGGATGAGCATCTCCATTCTCTTCCTGGTAGACAGGTGTTCACAAAAGCCGCCATATAAATTAGCGTTAATGAGCACTCTGTCTGCAAGCATCAGCTGAGCGTTCAAACCTGTGCAGTGCATTTTCTTCACCGTTCCCGGAAGGGGCTGAGGCACAGTGGGAGATCGTAGGTCCTCTGCCTCCATGCTGGTAATCCAGCCGCTTTCACCAACATTAAGTGCCCTATAAAAAAAAAAATAGGAGCACAGCACACTCTTCTCTGTGCTCAGTTTTTAATGCTGGCTGTCATTGCATTATTGAACTAAGTCCTTGGCAGGGAAAGGAGACTTGTGTTATGGAATCCGCTTGCTTTGGTGCAATTTGAGTAAATGAGCATTCATGGACAGGGGCTTGAAAAAAGACCGCACCCCCAGGAACTGATGAGCACGGTGCCAAAGACATTTTGCAGTAATGAAAAAGCTTTTGAATCACTTGGTACATTTACACTAACAGCAAAAGTGACTTTGCGTGGTGACTAATTGATCAAAGTCTGCTGCCCCTATTCAGTTTTGTCTCGATACGTGACGGAGACTCAATCGTTGGTGATCTGACCCCACAGGGAAACTGGGAGCAGCATGGTGGTGGGTTGCGAGAGAAAGACATCAAATAGTTTGATCTCGCACGGTACCTTCCCTGCAGGGCCTCAAATCGTAATCCCCCTGTGGGTCCCTTAACAAGTAGTGCGCTGCTTCTGGAGTCCAGAGGAGGATGCATGCACCGAATCAGTGGTGCTCAACCTTTTCTGGCCAAACTGTAACATCAGAAAGGGGCCGAGGGCCACGTAGAAAAGCATTCCCTGAGCTCTGCACACTCAGTGAGCTCTCGGAGCTTATCAGTTGTCGCTGTGAGCTCCAGAGCCGGGGGCCCTCTTTTGGCATTCACCCCATCAGGCTTCAGGGCCTCATGAAAGCAGTGACTCTGGCCAGAGCCCACACTGATATGCCAGTGAGCTCAGGGAGCTCATGCCACGTAAGGAGCTCAGGCAAGGTACGGGCCGTTCACATGAGCTTTGCATACCAGATCCAGGCCTCAAGCTGTAAGTTGAGCACCCCTGCATCAAACAATCAACTTTTCATGAGCTTAAAGAGCAAACAAGTGGTCAAGTCCAAGCTAGAACCCAACATTGCCCATAATTCCCCTCCACGCTGGTTCCCATCCAGTCCAGCTTTCCACTCTGTTGAAGGGAGTGACATTAAATCAGTTCAGCTCCTTGAAACAATGGCAATTAGGAAGACCACCCTTCAAACACGTGAATCTCAATCATTGGGTTAAGAATAACAAATTAATTGTAAAAGCTAAAAAAGAAGAATGGGTGAGCAGACCCCTCTGGCGTTTCGCATGAGATTGTACCACGTTATTCACTTGTTCTCCCAGATACTTTGTTCACTGCACAGCTTCTCCTAACATGTTTTTTTTCTCACTTTCTCCTTGCCCAGTCAATCTTGGGGGTGCAGTGCGAAGTGCAGAAACAGCTGAAGGCCTTCGTCACGTTGGAACGCTTCGAACAAATCTACAGCTCCAGCATTGCCGGGTGCCGACAAGTCAAGGAGAACAACAGGTTTGCCTCAGGAGGGTCTATCTTCGGAAAAGGAGTGAAGTTTGCCATGAAGGATGGGCGGGTGGCCACCGACATCATCAGCATGGCCAACGAGGACGGGCGGAGAATCGCGGCCATCCTGAACAACGCCCACTACCTGGAGAACTTGCACTTCACCATAGATGGAGTGGACACGCACTATTTCATAAAGCAAGGGCCATCGGAAAGTGACCTGTCCATCCTGGGCCTCAGTGGCGGGCGGAGAACCCTGGAGAACGGCGTGAACGTGACGGTGTCCCAAATCAACACAGTGCTTAGTGGAAGGACTAGACGCTACACGGACATCCAGCTCCAGTACGGTGCGCTGTGTCTAAACACCCGCTATGGGACCACCTTGGATGAAGAGAAGGCCCGCGTCCTGGAGCTGGCCAGGCAGCGCGCTGTCACCCAGGCCTGGGCCAGGGAGCAGCAGAGACTGCGGGATGGGGAGGAGGGCATTCGCTCGTGGACAGAAGGGGAGAAGCAGCAGGTGCTTAACACAGGTCGGGTACAGGCCTACGATGGCTACTTTGTGATCTCAGTGGAGCAGTACCCAGAACTGTCAGACAGCGCCAACAACATCCATTTTATGAGACAGAGCGAAATGGGCAGAAGGTGACATAGAGGGTCCAGACGCTGACTTCTTGCCAAAGACAGCTACTCTTTTGTGGCCACTTACATGACTGTGTTGTACTCAAACCTTTTTCTAAAAACAAGCAAGGCAGGGGGAGGAAAAGAGAGAGAGAGAGAGATGATAACACGGTTGCACTGTAACTCATGCAACATACCTTTTTCTTTCCTTTTCTTTTCTTTCAAATTTGGCCTTCACGCGTTTTTTTGCAATGAACAGAAGGTATGTTTTGCCGTTGCGTGATCACAGTGAAATTTGCTGTCTTTTGTCCTTCCCCCCACCGCACCCCGCAACCTTGTGAGGAATTTCAAGTGGGGAGTCGTCAACGTACGTCCGTAGGTTACTCGATGTGAAGTGAGAAATGGGTGTCTGTGCTAACTCGTTTCATCCTAACCATTGCCGATTTGGAACAGGGAGAGAGAAGCCTCTCGCCCAAGCAACAAGGCCGGGGGCCGAAGCGGAAGGTGACGCTGAGTCTGACCTTCTTCACGCGACTGTCTGAATCGTGTGCCTCAAAAGAGAACTGACCAGTAGTTTTCACGTTTCACTTGGGACAAAGTATTTTTGGGCTCCTGCTGTGCAGAAGTAGATTATAGAGGCAAAGGAGCTGATTATATTAACTTGCAAGATGATTCTCTTCCTTCCTGAACTGGAATAAAAAACAAAAAAAAATCAGTCTTTTTTCATTATGAGAGTAGATTTTTTTCATTTTATTTTATTCTGTTTTTTGGTGCGTGCGTAAATCCTGTTTTTAGTTAAAATCCAGTAAAAGCCAAGAAAGATGTTCCCGCTTTACTACAAAAAACAAAAAAGCAAACCTCTCTGTCTTGCACAGGGCTGTTAAGAGGTGGATTGAATACACCGAAGTTGTACATTTGTTAACCTCATTAAATGTATAGTATTTCAGGACACCAGGTTACATGGTCAGCAGCCTGCTGTCCTGTGTCTGATAAAGGAAGTTAATTTTTAGGAAACTAATTTGAATTTTGTATCAAAGTGACAGACCATTGAAAAGTCAAACTCTGTCATTCCTGCTTTTGGGGGTTGTTTTTAATTGGCCTGGACATAAGGCGACACTCTGGTAAGTCATTCGATCATGACTATGGCAAATAGATAACAGTCTCTCTGGGATTTTGGCAGTGGGCGTTTTAAAATGTTTAATAAGCAGCAACAGCATGCAACTGGTAGGATAAGAAGGAGAATATCAGACCCCATCATCTAACTGTTCCTAGTCCCTGTCATCCCACTGGGATACAAAGGATTTTGAATTAAAGGAATAGCCCAGGTGAGTGCTAGTTGTGACAAGAAGGGGTCATAACAGAAAGGCCCACTGCAGAGGAGACCAAGCAGTTTAATAAGAAACTGCTGACAAAGTTGCTCGGCATGCTAATGTAATTTGTATTCGCGTGACCCCCTTGCTCTGATTTCTGCAAGAGTCCTTGTGATTCGAGTGAACGAGGAGACTGGTCTGAACCTTTCTATCCGAGTTGTGTGGGGTTGTGGCACATCTCTGTGCTAAGACAAAATGAAGCATCACAATATCCAGACCTCTGGGTAAAGGTGCTCCAGAACAGGCCGATGTCTCACGTTCTCCCTGTGACTTCTTGGACTTTCACCCTTGGTCGTAGCCTTTATGCAGGCCGTGAAATGTTTCAGTTCCTTTGCTCCCCGGCTTGAAACAGAGACAGACTCTGGCTTGTCTGAGCCCAACAAGGGAGAGTTTTCTGAGCTCTCCTTTGGCATGTGGAGTCCTACAAGCCGCTGAGATCGCTCCCTCACCCACTGCTCCCACTACAGCCCAGCCCCATCCGTCCTGCCTTCCTCCAAAAAAAGGTGTCCTTGTTTCTGCTCAGGCCTACGCCAGCAATGCAAGTTTGAGGGAGCTGGACCAATGAGTAGAGAAAATGGTGGCAATCTCAGTCCTATCCTGGCATTGCCCAGGAGGCTGCTGGACATCTCCCAAGAGACTTTGCTCCCTAAAATTTCCAACCCAGTGCTTCAAACCCAAACCCACCGTAAGTGCCACGTGCTGACTTTCACTGAGCCTGAGGGATGTGACAAAGAGGATGGCACTCCACTATTCCCTGTGTTTACAGGGGCGAAGGACACCAAGGGGGGGTTCAACTGCAACAGTAGACATTAAGGTTGGAGATATTAGGATGAACTTGGTAACTGAGGGCCAGTGAAGCAGATTACCCAGAGAGGGAGAGACCTCCTGAGGGACCCTCCATCTTTATTTGTCTGTGATTCAAACCCAGATTCTTGCACAGTTCACCCTGTCACTAATCCTCCTCCACAGTCATGGCCTTTCCTGAGCCCTCCTACCTTCCTGGAAGGAAGGTGCGTCTGTGAGAAGGTGTAACCCAGTGTTATTAGTTAAACTCCCCTTGCAGAGTGGGAGAACTGGATACCGGGAAGCAGCCTTTGCAAGGGAATAGCCAGAAGCTGGGTGGAGGTCTTAAAACGGCAGGCCATTGTGTCTGAGCACTTTTGCTACTGCATGGGGGAGTGTAGGCAGCAGTGCACACAGCCAAAGCCAGGGGAAACTGTGCAGAAATGAGGCGTGGCCCAAATTCAAGGACAGCGTACTGCAAAACAGGTAGCTCCTTTGGTCCTGTTTACGTTTCTCTGTGTACGTAGATGAAGGAGAAGAGAGGGGATGCACCAGGATCTAGTCCCATCGGCTTGTTACAAGGAGAATGGAAGTGTTATGAGGGTCAGTGGGCTACACTGACATGGAGAAGAAGGGACATTCATGTGAGATTTTTTTTTTAAGACCCAGATAGACAAAGTCATGGCTGGCACGATCTAGTTGGGGCTGGTCCTGCTTTGAGCAGGGGGTTGGACTAGATGTGATCTCCTGAGGTCCCTTCCAACCCTCATTTTCTATGAGTCTATAAAATACCTCATTGCAAACCCTGCTGGACTGTGAGGCCACTTTCATAGCTTTCTACAGTCTGTCAAGATTATTAGACAAATTAATGCCCTGGAATCAGCTTCCAGCTATTCCTGAGTCTCACCTACCCACTGCACTCATCGTGCCTGTAGGCAGGAGCTGGCCGGAGCCACCCCATGGCCAAAGCCACACAAGTTGGCTTTAACTCTGAATATGCAAGCAGGGTGTAGAGGTGCCTGGCTTCCCATTGAAATCCAGGGAGGCCTGTCGCAGAAGCTCTGTGTAGCACGCCAGAAATACAAGGGTTGTTCTGAATCACTGGTCCTACTCTAGACACTTAAAAAGCCCTTTAAAACCAAGGGACATAGCTCTCATTCTAGCTGGGCCAAACATATACTGTCCTAATGAGACAGCTGATGATGTGGGTCTGCAGCTAGACACAAAGGCATGAAGAAGCAGCTGAGGGTGTAGGGGGGTGGGTTTCATCTTATTGTTGGGGCATGGCATTATGATGGGCTAGTTGCGCTTTTGAAGCTACTCCCTGGAGCAAATTGACTCATGTATGTGCTGCAGGTCTGCGGAGGCAAGCGGCTGCTTTTTCATCGTGGGCAGTAGGTGCTTGTGCCTTTTGGCCCAGGGGTGGCAGGTTCAGTCCTGACGACTGGTCACCCCCTCTAGCATCCTGGCTCCAAACACTCATTAGCCTGCCAACCCATGCCGTCGTATGGAGCTGACTTTAGCTTTTGACACTGCCAATGCTCCTTACAGCCGCAGAAGGAGTCCTGGCAGTCTCTGCAGGGAACCTCCAGCAGCTTGAACCAAGGGATTCTAGCTAAAAGTGATCGCTTTTGATCTGCTGTGGTTGACCTTTAGCCTAGGTGTCCTCCAACGCAGCACTATGTCCCACAAAATTCCCCTGCTGGCCTGGCCTCTATTCATAGAGATCCTGCAGGCTCAACTCCCCCTCTCCCTGCCCTACCATAAGTAATAATTACGGGTGATGAAATGAGATTATCTGGAAGCAAAAGCAGAGCGGGCAGTGACCCGGATTAGAGTCAGAGCCCTGGAGCCCAGCACAAATAAATTCGACTGGTCCATTAACAATCCAGACAATGGACCATTCAGCCCTACCTGAAGGGAGCTCGGGCTCAGGGAAGTCCCAGAGATTCCCCCGCCCCACCGCCTTGTTCACCCGCCGCGGCCAGGGCTCGTCATAAATGTTTTGTCCCTAACACACTTGGCTCCTCGCTTACTCTCATTTATTCCAAAGGCAGCACGTTTGTGCAGCAATTTCAGCCCCTGGTGGACTAATTTAGCACAACGAGAAGTCCTAAAATGTTTGTTTCTTCCAAGCTTTGTTTTTTTTTTGGACAGAAATGTTCTGTACCCAGAGCTTGGAAAAATCATTAAGCCCCAGTGACCAGAGGGAATCATACAATGCATCATATCTTTGTCATTCCTGCTATTGATCAGAGGCACAGTGAAAATGGGCCAACAAATCTAAAAAAAAATACCAGGCGAGAACAGATTAGATGAAGGCCGTTAAGAGACCTGGTGCTTGATTTGGGTTTAAAAGAGAGATGATTGGGAGCAGTCCCCAAGACGCCATTTGGCTGGAGCTTGGGAACAGTGAGGGATTTCTGTAATATATCTGGAGTTGCTTTATTGAGCTCCAGGAGCAGGGTAAGATTCGGCTCAGTCTATTACACAGACACTGTAACAAGAATAAATCAAAATTGTTAAAAAAAAAAAAAAATCTAATAAAGTACTTTTTCAGCTGTGACTTGTAAGTGTCACCATGATAGATGGCAGCACAATCCATTATGCAAAGACAAGGCTCTTAACATGATATTTTAGAATTCCCGTTCACAATTTATTGCAACCCCCCCCCCCACCCACCCACCTCGCC